ACTTCTTTGTGTTTTGTGTATTAGCCTCTTGCCAGAGGAACAAAGCAAGAAAAACAAATAAATGACATAAGTATAGGAAAGAAATAGAACTACTTTTGTTCAAAACCACAAAATTAAGCATGAAAAAAATCCTAGAGAAATTGAAAAAAAAAACCCTACAGATTATAGAAACATTTTTTCCTCGAAAGCTATAGTAATCAGTAAAGTGAAAGATTAGTATTGGAAGAGAAATCTATCAATAGAAGAAGAGAGCAGAAGAGTAAAAATAGACCCGACCATATACTGTCAAGTTCTTCTCAACAAAAGCATCAAGGCCATCTAATGGATAAGGAAAGTCTTCACAATGAATGAATTTGTGCATATTGATGATGAATCTTGATCCCTACCACACACCGTACACAAAAGTTAATTCAAGAATATCTCACACCTAAAGCCCAAAGTTAAAACTGCAAAGTTCCAAAAGGAACCCTTGGGGAATACATTTCAGAGTTTGTCACAGTGACCTCTTAAAAAGAATATTGCAAGAAAACAAACCATAAAAAAAAGAAATGATAAACTTCTTCAAAATTCAGTATTTTTACGCATCATCAATCATAGTGTAGAAAATGAATAGACTCCTACATGTTGAGGAAATATTTTAAAATATAAGTATCTCACTAAGGACTTGTGTCCAGAACCTATAAGTAATTCCAACAGATCAATTAGGCAAACCATGCAACTAAAAACTAAGCAAGACGTTAAACAGACAATTCATTAAAATAAATACACCGAATTCTAGTAAATGCAGGAAAAGCTCCAGAGTCATTCAGTATTAGGGAAATAGCAGGACATAGAGATTATTCTTCATCCACATTAGAATGAATGCAGTTGGTGCAAATGTCTCACTCCTTTCCTTGCCTCTCAGCCTGCCCATGGACCCTTCTCTGGAGGACAACACATCTATGGGTATCTTATGCATATGTGAACATATAAAACACCACAATGTGTAAATATTAGCACAGAGTGTATCCCATTGTGTAACCAGAGCAGTCATGATATCCATCATATCTGCACAATGTTTCTCTTAGGAATTTCAGTTTGGCATTCTACAAATCATTGGCTTGGGAAGTCAAATCTTCAATATCAATGAATGAATTTATTTCACTGTTGCAACATTTTTCTACTCAAATACCATGTGATATGTGTATGAATGATATGATAGAAAATTTAAGAAAAATCCCAGGTCATGGATAATGTTATTGCTACTACTCGACTACATCAGCTCAGCTAACTCCAAAGTAACACCTAATATTTCAAAAACTACAACATCCTGCAGTTACGAAGTTAACAGCATGCATTAAATAAAAAGGTTTTCTTATTGTAATCATTAAACTTGAATATGTGCTGTGGACACTTTAGGTCAAAGAACAATAAACAAGCAGAAATGCGGTCATAAAATTTAAGTAACAGAATACAGTTTCAAGCCAAATGCTCTGTAACTTCGAAAAAGAGGTCAGGAAGAGACTGTTATTTTTTCATCAAAATAGCTCAAAAGCAAACAAAATTTCAATAAATTATTCAATTTACTTTACAAGTTATTTTTTCCTTTCGTATGCCCTCTTCCAAAAGCATTTTTAGGTTTTTCTTTCCTCCTTCCATCCTAACTCAATTGATTTAAAGAGAATGAACTTTTCTCGATTTTTGGGTGACCTTGACCCCTTAAAACCAGATTTCCTTTATAATGAGAACTGGTCTAGAAGTCAAATCACTCTAAAAATCAAACCTTTAGAGCTGGCACTGTGGCCTAGTAAGCTAAGCCTCTGCCTGTGGCACTGGCATCCCATAAGGGTGCGGCTGTGTGTCTGCTTTACTTCTGATCTGGCTCTCTGCTATGGTCCAGGAAAGCAGTGGAGGATGTCCCAAGTGCTTGGGCCCCTACACCTGGGAGGATTTGAGGAAACTCTGGGCTCCTGGCTTAGTATTGGCCCACCTCTGGCCATTGCAGCCATTTGGGGAGTGAACCAGCAGATGGAAGACCTTGCCCTCTCTGCTTCTGCTTCTCTTTGTCTGTAATTCTGCCTCTCAAATAAAGAAATAAAAACTTTAAAAAATGAATCAAACCTTCATGTATGATTTTTTTTTTTGACAGGCAGAGTGGACAGTGAGAGAGAGAGAGAGAGAGAGAGAGAGAGAGAAAGGTCTTCCTTTGCCGTTGGTTTACCCTCCAATGGCCGTCGCGGCTGGCGTGCTGCGGCCAGCGCGCCGCACTGATCCGATGGCAGGAGCCAGGTACTTATCCTGGTCTCCCATGGGGTGCAGGGCCCAAGCACTTGGGCCATCCTCCACTGCACTCCCTGGCCACAGCAGAAAGCTGGCCTGGAAGAGGGGCAACTGGGACAGAATCTGGTGCCCCAACCGGGACTAGAACCCGGTGTGCCGATGCCGCAAGGCGGAGGATTAGCCTAGTGAGCCGCGGCGCCAGCCCATGGATGAATTTGCCAGGCTCTTTGGCCAGCCCTGTTGTATCCATAGCTCATACAGTCTTTCTGTGGGGGCAGTGCCAAGTATGATGCCGATATTAAGGAGTGTGCAAGTGGCTTAAGGGGGTTAACACATTTTACAGCCATCAAGTGGGCTGTTTCTAGGCTCAATGATATTATTCTCAGGCTTTTTTATTTTTCAATTCTTAATCTGTGTGTTAACATTTAATTGAAAAAGTAAGGCAGACACATCATAAAAATAATATTTAAAAAATACTTGAGTCCTCTCCTCATTGCAATTCTCCCCTCCCGGTGCCCTCTCTCTGACAGCAGACACTGCTACACATCTCTCAGGCCTCCTTCTAGAAAAAATCACTATTTGTAAACAAATGGCTGTGCATGGAATACAGTAAATCAGTGCAACTACACAGGTGTGCAAGACCTCAATAGTTGAAAATCCAAGATGTGTTCCTGCACCTGTGCCACTCAACTCACGTGATTGTGCTCGGCTGAAGGATGAGAGTTATCAGAAATTTTCTTTGCATTCTAATTCTCATAATGGGTGGGGTGATGATAGTTCCCAATAACTGACTATAGCTGTATATAGGACTAGGGATCGGAAGGAACACCTAAAACTCCAACATGAACCCATATGAGATGCCAGCACCACGGCCGGAGGCTTAGCTTACTACGCCACAGCGCCGGCACTGAAAACAATTATTTAAATCTATGCATACTAAGATCTTCAAAAAGTCTGTGGAGGTGCGGGCGCCGTGGCTCACTTGGCTAATCCTCCACCTGTGGTGCCGGCATCCCATATGGGCCCCAGGTTCTAGTCCCGGTTGCTCCTCTTCCAGTCCAGCTCTCTGTTGTGGCCCGGGAGGGCAGTGGAGGATGGCCCAAGTGCTTGGGCCCCTGCACCCATGTGGGAGACCTGGAAGAAGCAAGCGCCTGGCTCCTGGCTTCAGATCAGCGCAGTGCTGGCTGTAGTGGTCATCTGGGGAGTGAACCAATGGAAAGGAAGACCTTTCTCTCTGTCTCTCTCTCTCTATAGAGAGAGACTCTCTCTAGAGTCTATAACTCTACCTGTCAAATTAAAAAAAAAGTCCATGGAAATGTATACTATGAAAAAAATGAATAATGGATTTTTTTTTTTTTTTTGTGCAACAGTAAACTTATATTTTAATTCCATGTTTCCACACACTTTTTGAAGTGGCTTTGTAATTTCAAATGCATAAGGTGTCACACAGGCCAGAGGACTAATGCTTTGCTTTTGAACTGCAATAAAGCCACTGGTGGTGTGAATTTAAAAGGGCACAGCCCCCCCCCCCCCACACACACACACTTCAGGAGATGGGACTTAGTCTCAGAGGTTCACAGGAAAAGGCAGAAGTTACTTAGACACCATTGTTCTGCATAGAGCGTTACACCTAAGCCACACGTGGCATGGCCTTGGGGCTGTGCCACTATAAAAATGTAAACCTCCTTTAACCCCTCTGTGTAAATCACCAGAAAGCTTCCCCCTACTGATTTAAACAAATTTGGTCTCTGACCTCTCGAGTCAGAACTGGCCTCAACAGCTCCTTCTGATGGTTGTTGTACTGACTGCTTGATACATGCCAGCTATCATAAAACACAATTTCACAGCAGATCTTCATAGAATGCCCCATACATCCAAAGTCAGGGCAACAGTTTCTTTATTCCAGGTAAGTCAGTAGCATGAATTACTGCAGATTAATGAAATAAATGCACTTTGTTGCATCAAGATTTGGCGTTCAATGGCAACTGTGATTTGTGGTATTGTTCAACTAGCTGCAACATCCGTCAATGTGCTTCCCATAGGAACTTCAAAAGGTTTCAGTAAATACCAGAGTCTTGAAAGGGTTCTCATGTGTGCAAGGCAGAATTTTTCTGGTTCTGTGATTTTTAATACTTAACAACAAAGCTAGTACAATAGTACATAAAGCCATCAGTTGCTTACTGCAAAGCATGCAGAATCTGAGAATTTGAGATGTCACTGACCCATGAAATTATATAGGTGCTGTTTTCTGAAAGAAATCCTGATAGCATCTTGAACACCTTTACATAAAACCTAAACTCTATAATGAAAGCAAGGTTTCATATTTTAGTAATATTTTAGTAATTTCTGTAAACAAATTTTTCAAGGAGTTTTCAGAGAGTTCCCACTGATACATATGTATAAGATTTCTATCTTTAGATGGAAATGAATTTCAACATGTCCTAGGAAGTGATGTTTAATAAACTGTAATACAGGAAGATATGCTATTGAACATAGTATTAAAATGTTTTGGTACTTCATAGCTCAAAAATTGTTTTATTTAATTGAGACCAACTGGCCTCATTGGTTCTTATAAACTTTGCAATATATATTCAGAAAAAAAGGATAAAAATGAACAGATGTTTCTCCTTAAAGAAAGCACACAAAGATTTTTCTTACACAATAAATCAGCCGCTAGTAGACTTCCAGGACATTGCTTCAGGCTATTTAGGTACAAACTTAAAAAAAAAAAAAAGGCTTACCTCTGTGTGGATCCAAAATTGGTAGAGGAGATTGAATTGGAGATGCACAGCATACACTGAAGGTGGTATGAAGAGTGCCAGAGGACAGTAGAAAATCTGCAAGATAAAAATTTTGCAACAATTTAATTTGTGTATATGCTTTCCCAGCATAAATATTTTTTCTATTATTGGCAGTTCAACCTTCTGAGTATATATTTCTCCAATGCATACACCTTATTCTGGGCATTTTATAACCTATTTGATTTTGAAATATTAATTTTCCATGTGGTGATAAAGCTGCAGATGTACTGGGTTTTGTATTTAATATTATCTACCTACACTATCATATGTTGTGTATTATTCTCTTCATCTTGAAAAGGTTGGATATATTTCCTGGAAGTAAAGAAGGTTTTTTTTTAATATATACACACAATATTTACTTTATTTAAGTAAAAAAAAATGTAAGAGTATTTCCTTTATACCTCTGACCTCCCAAATTCTCTGTTATTATCTGGCATTTTCAATAATGCAGCAAATAAAAATAGGAAGTAATGTCATATAAGGGAGGACTGAGGAACTTTACTTCTTCACTCCTGCAGCTTATATGGAAGGTGGTGGGCTGTCGTGCCTTAGTGGAAACTAATTTTAAAGATCGATATTTCCGCACAGCCGGAAATGCCTCCACCTTGGAAAAACAACTTATGCTTAAGCCACAGATTGGTCAGAATCTACTAACAAGCATGCTCTGCTGTATCCTGCTAATGACCTTGATCCCCAAGAGTGGTTTCATGTTGGAAGGAAACATTTTATTAAATGAAAAACTCAGCAACCAAGTCAAAGTAAAAGGAATCCGACTTCTGCTTGACGTTTCTAATTTTGTACGGTCCTTATTTCTAAAAGACTAGGTACTTTTAAAGCATTTCTTCTAAATATTAGCACTTTATTTCTACATTTATGATAAAGCATTAGCTCTCAAAAGAACAACATGTCTTTTCAAGTGTTTTGGCAAAGATCACGCATCTCCAATTGGATGTTTACATAAACCCTGTTAGTTTTCTCTTGTAAATGTAAATCAGGAAAAGCTCAACTCTCACCCCAAGGCGTTCAGCTTTATTATTTACTAGCAGATTATTCAGCAGTGGAGTAGATTAGTGAACAGCAGAAGAGTTCTGGGCTATTAGTGGAGATTGCACTGTGAGCACTTATGCCATGACAGACTACACTTGTAGTAGCAGCAAACTTCTTACACTTCTTTAGCTTCCCATTGTCTCACATCAGTGGTGAGGGGAAAGCTTTTTGCAATCCAGCCATTCTTTCAGTTCTGCAAAGACCTGTGCTATGATTTGTTTTGCTTTGCTTTTTTTTCTCACCATTTGAAGACAATTATCGTGCAATAGGTTAATAAGGAATGTGGCTTGGGACACATATAGGGCCTATGACAAAGCATTTTTTAAGTTAAGGGGCATTTGTAATGAGAAATATAAGTTTAGTTCAGGGAATAATTCACAAAAATCACAAGTGGAGGTTTTTTTGTAAGATACAATGTTATCAAAAGATTCCTGACAGAATCAAGGTCTTAATTTTTATAACTGGAAGCAGCTGAGTAGATGTGGTCCAGAATTCTCATTCACCTTCTATTCTACCTCTACTCTTTGCATTCCCAAATCCTCTGTGTCCTTTCAAGCCAATCCAAATGCCACCTCTGGTATGAATCCTTATATGGAATTTCTCCTTCCTCAAACTCAGAGTAACTCTGAGTACCTCAGTCAAGGTCTTCAAATTGTTTATCAGATATAACCATTTCTATCATGTGTCCAAATGCATTTCATTCAGACTACCAGGCTCTTTAATCTTTAATTACACTCTTAACCATGAGTCATTATATGATAATAAGGCAGAAGTCATACACACCAGGATCAGAAGGCAGAGAAATAACAAAGATCTATAAGCACAGGGAAAGAATGAGGAAAAACTAAGAGGTGATCTTGAGCTAACAGGCAGGAGTTGAGTGGAAGTTCTATTAGAAATTGCATGAGATTTGCAAGGGTTGTGTGACATGGCATCAGAAAGCAAGAAACACCACAGCATTTAAGGGAAGCTACAAGTACAGGGGTGGCTTGCCGAGGTGTTGGGGAACCGTGGGGAAAGAGATGGGTTAAATGATGGAATTCATGGGCAGAGCTCAGGCTGTCCACCAACCCTGATATCACCACACGTGTGAGCGCGAGTGCGTGGGCAAATGTGCCGTTTCTAAAGAAACAATCTGCAGCTTTCATCAAGGAGCCTCCAGTATGTCTATGACTCACCCTAACAACAAAAAAAACAAAAACAAAATCCCACAAAAATCATGCTAGACCACGGCCAAACTTGAGGAAGAAGCCATCCAATATCATTCTAAGGAGACTGGGCATGAAGGAATAATTAACTTCTTTTTAAACATTTAAGAAATATACAATACAAAAGTCTGTTTGAAAGTCAAAAGTATATTTAATCACTGCAGTAGTCGTGACAGTGGAGATGTAAAGTAGATATTTAATATATATAAGGACTCAGTTATTAGTTAAACATAAGAGTGGGAGGGCCTGAGCCAGGTGTGATAAGATGCCCAGATCTCTGGCTTGTGTGTAGGTGATGTTGTACAGTTCCACTTTGGGAAGCTTGTGTTAGAGCGCTTGGGGTAGGTCATGAGGAAGCTACTCAGAAAGTAGTTGGAAATGTGAATCAGGAACCAGAGTCCCAGGAATCAGAAAATACCTGGATTGACCTTGCTGTTATGGGTGTCATGCAAATATTAACTGTATTTGAGCTGTGGATGGATCCATAATGGGACAATAAATAATACCCTAAATGCAACTCCATGATCTCCAGATAAAATAAAAGACTGCTAGTAAACTAGGTTGAAACCCAAGAGTCAAAGATGTAAGATCATCAGAGACTAGCAGGCAGTTTTAAAGAAGGGCTTAGAAGACTCCCACTGAACACCCACTGAGGTGGTGAAAACGCAAAATAGCCCTGGATTTGCAAGCAGGGGTCAAAGCAGCGGTAGGTCTAGAATTCAGATCTCAGTAAGCTAAGGATCAGCCAAGGGAGATGAGAAAGTGGAGGAAGGGATTGCTCAATATGAATATATTGATGGTCCCTCACAAGGAACCAGTGGAGACAGAGAACAACAGAGGGTGGGGTCAGCTGTTTGGTAAAGACCACAAACTGCTGAGAGGAAGTAAGACAAATGCAAGGTTAGCAACCAAGAGTTAGAGCTGCTGAAGGTAAGTGAGCCTTTTTTGTTGTAAAACAAGGGGTAATAAAGCAGATCACTTGTCAATTCACAAGTTTTAACTGAAGATATACAAACTGGAAGTAGAGAGGTAGAAACAAGCAAAGCCCCCATTTTTGGTGAAGCTTTAATACATTCAAGAGGTAGCAGTGGAGAAGACATACTAAGAAAACTATATTTTATCTTATTTATTTATTCATTCATTTATTATAAGAAAGGGAAGAGAGAAAGAGAAATCAGTCACATCCAGTGATTCACTCCCCAGATGCCCACAACAGCTAATGCAGGGCAGAGTTGGAACTGGGAGCTGGGTATTCAATCTTAGTCTCCCACTTGGGTGTCAGAGACACAACAACTTGAGCTCTTACCAGCTGCTTTCCAGTGTGTGCATCAGCAGAAAAAGAACACAGCTGAGACTTGAACCAGGCACATTGATATGATATATGGCCATCCCAAGTGGTGTGTTAACCACCAGGTCAAATGTCCATCTGAAGACTGATACTTTAGCAAGGTTTCTCCAAGGTAGAGAAGTGAAAATGAAACCATCTTCCAGTATTTCAAGGAAGATGCAATATAGGCTATAGGTCATACTGCTGGAGTCACAGAACTTAAACATCATAGGTTAGCTGATGCTCACAGTCAAGTCAGGAACAGGTTATAAAGCAGGAGAAAAAGTCTAGGTTAAGGAAGAATGCTTCTCCCAGATAAACTGCTAACTAAAATGGTTTAAGCTTAAGAATACATGCAGTTACATTGAAAGAATAGAAAACACACTTTCAAGCTCCAGGATTCATGTCAATTATATTTTAATAGTTCAATAATTTAATTTATCAGTGTCTGCACTTCTAGCATTCTCATTTATAAGTATAATAGTATGATAGAAAAATTTAATTTTTCTTCTAAGGAGATCACATTTTAGCACAGGTGTTAAGCTTGCTTGCCATTCTGACATCCCATATCCAAGTGGCAGTTGGAGTCTCAGCTGGACAACTTCCCATCCAGCTCCCCACTAATGCTCCTGAAAGGCAAGAGAAGATGGTCCAAGTGTTCGGGCCCCTCCCACCCATGTAGGCTGCCTGAATGGAGTTCCTAGCCCCTGACTTTGCCTTGGCTCAACCATGGCTGTTGCAGCCATTTTTGGGAGTGACTCACCAGATGAAAGATTTTTTTTTTCTCTATTTTTCAATCCCTGCCCCTATAAGGAAACTCAAAAAATAAATAAATATTCTAAAATAATTTTCCTCTTGAGTACTGATCTCTATCTTTCAGACATTCCTTTTTTTAAAAAAATAGTTAAGTAGTTTGAGTTTTTTCTTTTTTCTTTTATTTAAGGCATACCTATTTCATGTCTTACGTGTATACAGATTTAAGAACACAGTGATACATCCCCACCTACCCTCCCTCCCACCCATGCTTCCATCCTCCATTCTCCTTCCTTTTCATTCCCACTCTTAATTTGTACAATGCTTTACTTTCAGTTTACTTTATACTCATAAGATTAACCCTACATATGTAAGGAGTTCAGTAAATAGTATCTTATAGATCTTTTCACATCCTTGGTTAACTTCATACTAAAATATTTAATTTTTGTAAATATTATGAATGGGACTGATCTTACAAGTTATTTCTCAGCCATAGCATGGTCTATGTATACAAAGTCTATTGATTTTTGTGTGTTAATTTTGTATCCTGACACTAAACCAAACTCTTTTGAGTTCCATTAGTCTCTTAGTGGTGTCTTTTGGTTCCCCTATATATATAGAATCATGCCATCTACAAACAAGGATAATTTTAGTTCCTCCTTTCTAACTTATATCTGTTTGATTTCTTTTATTGCCTAATG